GGCAGATGTGCAGGTGAACATCTGCCAATGTGGTATACTGCATCCGCTGTACCCGGTGTGGCCTTCTCTACATCGGGGAAACCAAGCGGAGGCTCGGGGACCGCTTTGCAGAGCACCTACGCTCGGTTCGCAATAAACAACTGCACCTCCCAGTCGCGAACCATTTCAACTCCCCCTCCCATTCCTCAGACGACATGTCCATCCTGGGCCTCCTGCAGTGCCACAACGATGCCACCCAAAGGTTGCAGGAACAGCAACTCATATTCCGCTTGGGAACCCTGCAGCCCAATGGTATCAATGTGGATTTCACAAGCTTCAAAATCTCCCCTCCCCCTACCGCATCCCAAAACCAGTCCAGCTCGTCCCCGCCTCCCTAACCTGTCCTTCCTCCCACCTATCCCCTCCTCCCACCTCAAGCCACACCTCCATCTCCTACCTACTAACCTCATCCCGCCCCCTTGACCTGTCCATCCTCCCTGGACTGACCTATCCCCTCCCTAACTCCCCACCTACACTCACCTTTACTGGCTCCATCCCCGCCTCTTTGACCTGTTTGTTTCCTCTCCACCTATCCTCTCCTCTATCCATCTTCTATCCATCTCCCACTCTCTCCCTATTTATTTCAGAACCCCCTTCCCCTCCCCCATTTCTGATGAAGGGTCTAGGCCCGAAACGTCAGCTTTTCTGTTTCAAATATATCATAGGGTGTCACGATGGATCAAGGTTTAGTATTGCTGCCTTACAGCACCAGGCACCTGGGTTTGATTCCAGACTTGGGTGACTGTCTGTGTGGCATTTGCACATTCTCCCCATGTCTGTTTGGGTTTCCTCTGGGTGCTCTGGTTTCCTTGCACCGTCCAAAGATGTGCGGGTTAAGTGAATTGACTATGCTAAATTGCGCATAGCGTCTAGGGTGGGAAAAGCAGGGATAGGGTAGGCAGTTGGGTCTGAGTGGAATGCTGTTCACAGGGTCGGTGTGAATTTGATGGGCCAAATGGCTTGCTACCACACTGTAGGGATTCCCTATCGATGATTCTCTATTATCTAATCAAGGTTGTGAAAGAGATGCAGTGAAAGAGGGACTGGACAGTACTAATGAACTGGTGGAGAGTGTGAATTATGGATTAAAGATAGAAGTGGAATTTTGGGAGAGGCATTTTATCCAAGGTGAATGATAAAAGAACTGCAGCTTCACTTTCTGAGAAGGGAGATGAGAGTCTCTCTGTTACAGGGCAAGGATTGCAGTGTGTCTGTAAACTTAGCCAAATGGTGGAGACTGACTTTGTGAATTGGAGCTATGGGGAATGAGGTATTTATTCATTCACAGGATGAGGGTGTCGCTGGCTACAGCAGCATTTATTGCCCATCCTAATTGCCCAGAGGGCAGTTAAGAGTCAAACACATGTAGGCCAGACCAGGTAAGGATGGCAGTTTCCTTCCCTAAAGGACATCAGTGAAACAGATGGGCTATTTCAACAATCAACAATGGATCTAAAGGTCATCATTAGACTTTTAATTCCAATTTTTAAAAAAAAATTGAACCCCACCATCTGCTATGGTGGGTTGAACCCAGGTCCGCAGAACATTAGCTGGGTCTCTGGACTAATAGTCCAGTGCTAATACCACTAAGCCATTGCCTCCCCTGCTGTGGCTGGGTTACTGGAGGAAGGACATTGATGTAAGTGATGGTCTTTTGTTAAATCTGAAATGTTAAGATCCTTTGTGTATTCACCAGGAGTTTGGAGATTTTGGTGCCAGATTGTGGAGGTAATGTAGTGGGAAGCAGTTGCGAGAGGACCGTACCATACCAGGAATGGAAGTACTCACCAGTTAACAGGCTGAGAGTGGCGTCATGA